CTCCAAAACCCCACTAAAACCCCTTGACCGTCACTTTTCACCGTATTTCAATGAAGTCCTTCTCCACCTCTCTGCACCCCACCTAATACCCTCCTCTCGTTCCGCTTGCATGAGCTTCGTCTTTGACCAAATTGAGAAGCAGAGGCGAGAAATGTTCCTTCAAAGTCCAAAGCGACAATACACTCAGCGCACCAGGGCATGGCAGCAGAATCGCGAGAAACCCAACAATCTGCGTGCAATGTCCAGAGATGGGATGCGAGAAATGCAGAAACTGATGCTAATTCTGGTGTTTTAAGTGAGTACCCTCCAGCATACCCGAGCTTGGCGCCAATCCATTAATGTGGAAAAGATTCCAGACTCGTAGTCAGAAAATTCCGGAAGTGAAGTTAAGGCTAGCACTTCGCCAGTGAAGTTAAGGCTAGCACTTCGCCAGTGAAGCAGATGCTTCTTACATTCTTTTCTTCTTACTGGTCCTCCTTGTTCTGCTTCTTACATTCTTTTCTTCTTACTGGTCCTCCTTGTTCTTTAATTTTTCGTTTCCAGTTTCTTTCATTCCTTGCTTTTCAGATACATGGCTAACCTCTTTACTTGCTTCCCTAGACTCAGCATATAGCATTTTTTTTTTTCTTTTTCTTTGGGATAATACTCTCCTTCTTGAGAGGGTAAGAATCTAAGAGTTTCTGAGCTTCCTTTTAAACTCTTCTTTTCTTGTCATGAAGGCTTAGTATCTCGGTTGATTGCATACACTTATATCTCTTGCCTGCATATTTATGTGCTATCCTCTCAATCTCCCTAAAATCACTTAACAAGATTTACCCAAAGACCCCAGAAAAGAAAAACAACAAACCAGTCAAAATATTTTGAAATCATTTACAATACCATTTTGGTGGAATTTCAGCATATCTGTATTTCATCTGAACCAGGTGTGTGTTATTTCTCCTTTTGTTTGGAATATTTATTTCTGTACTTCTAAGATTGCATTCATTCTGCTAATCAAAAAAAGAAAGAGAAAAAGATTTCATTCATCACGTTGAAATCCACAGCATTTCAGCATTCTGGCATTTCTATCTTACAAAATCAATAGAAACATCCATTCTCAAACAATGGAGAAAGGAAAGGGATTTGACAGGAAATCAAACCTCCAAAAGCGAAAATTTAATATTCTATTGCTTGAGGGTTTTACAGTTTTGTAACTGTATAGTCTTGGCTGGTAAGAAGGTAGCTAAGACTTAGGAAGTTAGATCTATGTACTATTTTCTAAATTCTGCAAAACTCATTGAATAAAAATTTGAAATCAACAAGACAAACTAATATATCTTGACTTCTCCTTTTTTTTTGTTATGTATATCTTGAGTTTTCTTATACATACATTTTGGTATATTCATTATCTGTTTTCTATTCCTACTAATGCTTGGACCTATAATAGCTCATCCTTGATATCCCTTGTTGCATTCATTCTATTAAGTATGTCTAAGCTGAAAATTAATTAAAATCTACTGAAAATCTAACCTGACATGTATTTTGTGCTAAACATGTTCTCTAATTCTTTGAAGGAGAGAGGTTTATTCAAGCTGTGTCTCCAAGGAAGTTCTTGAAATCAAGTACATCCTTTCTTTCATTGCTCTCAATTATTTGGAGTAACCGGGTACACTTTTTCTTTCATAAAGTATCTTACAATTCTATTCTCATGTTCCTAAATCTATATCAATAATTTCTGTTTAGTGTATGGGTTAGTTGGTTTGAAACATAACATTACTTCAACTTCTAAAACATTTCTCTTGTCGTAGCGCTTTATGATTGAGATTTAGACTCATTGACCTTTGAACATTTCCTTGTAAATTATCCTGCAAAAATTTGCATGAAGAAATCCAAGAATAGCGTTTTCGCAAATGTTGCATTAAGATAGCTATATGATGCATTTCAATCTAGCATTTATTTTTATTTGCCATGGTTGATCTTGTTTCTCAAATGAATGCTACCTTCTCCTTGGTTTATGACTGTTTTATTGAGCATAGTGATGTATCTCTCTAGTGTTCAAAAAAGAAGAAAAGAAGATAGCTTGTAGAATTCTCTAGCACTTTCCTTATTTATGCCTTTGATATGGCTTGCTTTTTGATATACTTGGTTACTTCCTTTACTTATTTATCTAGCTTTTGCATATGCCATGAACTTTGCCCTAAATTATACTCTCCTTGGAAAGGATTAGAATTATTTACCGTACCACAGAGCCTTGGATCGAAATTAAAGTACCTTGCTGCTTCATTTTCAGAGTTTCTTATCTTGTGGTAACATTTAGGTTGGTTGTACAACTATCTCTTGATCTCATTTTTGTG